GCCGTTCATACACTCCAGCTGATCTCAGCTTGACGAAAATACGAAAGGCACCATTTAGTGCCACACCATACAGTTCTTGATCCGCAACACCATAGGTGTCACGGATAATTTGCGGTAAAAGCACTTGTGCAGACTGAGGCGTTATCGCACCACACAACAATTCAATGCACACCGTGTGCATACGCCTTCTCACAGACTGCGCCATGTTGTGAAAATATAAGTCTCCTCCAATGGCCAGCAGAGGGCAGTAGTCACACGTCCGCACTCTGCTCAGGTCAAGCGGCGAATGATATGTCGGTTTAGGCTGCTTTGTTGTGTGAATGGTGGGAGGGCTATGAATGGTGACCTGGAGTTTACCTGGAGAGAGTTCCGGGGGTCAACGCCCCCGCGGCCCGGTCTGTGACCAGGCCTCCTGGTGGATCAGAGCCTGATCAACCAGGCTGTTGCTGCTGGCTGCACGCAAACCAATGTACGAGCCACAGCCCGGCTGATCAGGAACCGACTTTAGGTGCTTGTCCAGTGCCAGCTTGAAGACTGCCAGGGGTCTGTTGGTAATCCCCCTTATGTGTGCTGGGAGGCAGTTGAACAGTCTCGGGCCCCTGACACTTATTGTATGGTCTCTTAACGTGCTAGTGACACCCCTGCTTTTCATTGGGGGGATGTTGCATCGTCTGCCAAGTCTTTTGCTTTCGTAGTGAGTGATTTTCGTGTGCAAGTTCGGTACTAGTCCCTCTAGGATTTTCCAGGTGTATATAATCATGTATCTCTCCCGCCTACGTTCCAGGGAATAAAGGTTCAGGAACCTCAAGCACTCCCAGTAATTGAGGTGTTTCATCTCCGTTATGTGCGCCATGAAGGTTCTCTGTACATTTTCTAGGTCAGCAATTTCACCTGCCTTGAAAGGTGCTGTTAGTGTGCAGCAATATTCCAGCCTAGATAGAACAAGTGACCTGAAGAGTGTCATCATGGGCTTGGCCTCCCTAGTTTTGATGGTTCTCATTATCCATCCTGTCATTTTTCTAGCAGATGCGATTGATACAATGTTATGGTCCTTGAAGGTGAGATCCTCCGCCATGATCACTCCCAGGTCTTTGACGTTGGTGTTTCGCTCTATTTTGTGGCCAGAATTTGTTTTGTACTCAGATGAAGATTTAATATCCTCGTGTTTACCATATCTGAGTAATTGAAATTTCTCATCGTTGAACTTCATATTGTTTTCTGCAGCCCACTGAAAGATTCGGTTGATGTCCGCCTGGAGCCTTGCAGTGTCCGCAATGGAAGACACTGTCATGCAGATTCGGGTGTTATCTGCAAAGGAAGACACGGTGCTGTGGCTGACATCCTTGTCTATGTCGGATATGAGGATGAGGAACAAGATGGGAGCGAGTACTGTGCCTTGTGGAACAGAGCTTTTCACAGTAGCTGCCTCGGACTTTACTCTGTTGACGACTACTCTCTGTGTTCTGTTAGTGAGGAAATTATAGATCCATCGACCGACTTTTCCTGTTATCCCTTTAGCACGCATTTTGTGCGCTATTACGCCATGGTCACACTTGTCGAAGGCTTTTGCAAAGTCTATATATATTACATCTGCATTCTTTTTATCTTCTAGTGCATTTAGGACCTTGTCGTAGTGATCCAATAGTTGAGACAGACAGGAGCGACCTGTTCTAAACCCATGTTGCCTGGGTTGTGTAACTGATGGGTTTCTAGATGGGTGGTGATCTTGCTTCTTAGGACCCTTTCAAAGATTTTTATGATATGGGATGTTAGTGCTATCGGTCTGTAGTTCTTTGCTGTTGCTTTACTGCCCCCTTTGTGGAGTGGGGCTATGTCTGTTGTTTTTAGTAACTGTGGGACGACCCCCGTGTCCATGCTCCCTCTCCATAGGATGGAAAAGGCTCGTGATAGGGGCTTATTGCAGTTCTTGATGAACACGGAGTTCCACGAGTCTGGCCCTGGGGCAGAGTGCATGGGCATGTCATTTATCGCCTGTTCGAAGTCATTTGGCGTCAGGATAACATCGGATAGGCTTGTGTTAACCAAATTTTGTGGCTCTCTCATAAAAAATTCGTTTTGATCTTCGACTCTCAGTCTGGTTAGCGGTTTGCTAAAAACTGAGTCATATTGGGACTTGAGTAGCTCACTCATTTCCTTGCTGTCATCTGTGTAGGACCCATCTTGTTTAAGTAGGGGCCCAATACTGGATGTTGTTCTCGGCTTTGATTTGGCATAGGAGAAGAAATACTTTGGGTTTCTTTCGATTTCATTTATGGCTTTTAGTTCTTCCCGCGATTCCTGACTCCTATAAGATTCCTTTAGCTTGAGTTCGATGCTTGTTATTTCTCTGACCAGTGTCTCCCTACGCATTTCAGATATATTGACCTCTTTTAGCCGCTCTGTTATTCTTTTCCGTCGCCTGTAAAGGGAGCGCCTGTCTCTTTCTATTTTACATCTACTCCTCCTTTTTCTTAGAGGAATAAGCCTTGTGCATACATCGAGTGCCACCGAGTTAATCTGTTCTAGGCATAAGTTTGGGTCTGTGTTGCTTAGTATATCTTCCCAGCTTATATCGGTTAGGACTTGGTTTACTTGGTCCCACTTTATGTTTTTGTTATTGAAGTTGAATTTGGTGACTGCTCCCTCGTGACTAGTCTCATTATGTAGGTCTGGGGCTCCACGCATACATGTCTGAACCTCAATTATGTTGTGATCTGAGTATATTGTTTTTGATATGGTGACATTTCTTATCAGATCATCATTGTTAGTGAAGATGAGGTCTAGTGTATTCTCCAGTCTAGTAGGCTCTATTATTTGCTGGTTTAAATTGAATTTTGTGCAGAGATTTAAAAGCTCGTGTGAGTGTGAGTTTTCATCAGAGCTGCCTCCTGGTGTTATTACTGCAACAATATTATTTGCTATATTCCTCCATTTTAGGTGCCTTAGGTTGAAATCCCCTAGGAGCAAGATGTTGGGTGCAGGAGCTGGAAGATTTTCCAGACAGTGGTCAATTTTTAACAGCTGTTCCTGGAATTGCTGGGATGTTGCATCCGGAGGCTTGTAGACTACCACAATGACTAGGTTTTGGTTCTCGACCTTTACTGCTAAAACTTCCACTACATCATTTGAGGCATTTAGCAGTTCTGTGCAAACAAGTGACTCTGCAATGTACAGGCCAACCCCCCCCCCTTTTGCCTGTTCACTCTGTCACATCTGTATAGGTTGTAACCTGGGATCCATATTTCTTTTGTCCAAGTGATCCTTTATGTGGGTCTCAGTGAAAGCCGCCAACATTGCCTTTGCCTCTGCAAGCAGTCCACGGATGAAAGGTATTTTGTTGTTTGTTGCTGGCTTTTGACCCTGTATATTTGCAAAGAAGAATGTTATCGGACTGGTGGTATTGTTGGTACTGGGGGGGGATTTTTTTTCCGGCATTAGTATCTGTATCTGTTGGTTTGGAGTGGAGGCCATCGACTGTGGTTCCACTCCAGGAATGACTGGATTTGGTGTACGATTTCTGCCATTTCCTGCCAGTTTTTTCTCCTTCCTGGCACTAAAAAACCTCTCCCTCTTGAGTGGCTGTGGCTACCCAGGTGAGGGGGAACGAGATGCATGATAAACTAGACAACCTATGGTTATGTTCCCTGAGTACAGGATAATCTTTAAACCATGATAACTAAATCTTGGGATCTCGGGTTTAGCGCAGTATGGTTTTAATTGCACCTAAGTTAACTTGATCGTTGTACAACTTTTGTTTGTGAGGTGCTGTGACAATGCACAGTTGTTTCGTGGTAGTAAATTAGTGCTTAGTGGGTATAAAAGTTGGTAATTGGTTAACACCAGAAATTCAGTGTCAACTACAGTTTGAGCTGCATTTATCCCAGGTACATTTCATTGCTATAAAAAAAATTAATATTGATAATATGTTTAACCACATGTGAGTGGCTATGAGGTTAACTTGTTTAATTATTAATATTGTTATTGTGTTTAACCACATGAGTGGTTGTGATGTTAACTTGTTTAACTTTTAATATTGATAATGTGTTTAACCACATGAGAGTGGCTATGATGTTAACTTGTTTCATGTTTATCATTGATAATGTGTTTCACCACGTGAGAGTGGCTAGGTTTTCAACTTGTAGAGGGGCGGGTGGGGGTTGTGGGAATGTTGGAAGTCGCTGTAAGCAGCAGTGTTTTATGAAGATCTCGTGATTATGTAACACGGTGTTTCTAGGTAGATTGTAGGTTGTGTTAGGCTATCTTAGGGTAACATTGTATGTATGTTCACTCAGTGGACCGTTGTAGTACTAGTGTTGAATGTTCTGTCATAACATGTACCATTTCATGGTATCTTTATAATGAATCTTGTAATACAGTTTTAAATAAAATATAAAAAAAAAAAAAATCCACACAAACAGTGCTCACCCAGCGTCCAATGCGATCCGCCATGTTGTATGCACAAAACAGGAAAACTGCGCAGTAAACCAGTTGAATCAGGAGCCACTGCGCAGCTTGTCCACACGGCACAATAGCGATGAGGACAATCAATTTTTTGTTTTCTTTGTAAATGTTTCATGTTTTGTGAACATTTCAGTTGTGTGATATACATGTCTACTGTATCCTGTGTTTTTAAATAAAATATATAAAAAAAAATCCTTTTGTGTCAGTTAATTTGATTGAGATACATACTGTTTCCTTATTTTATATTTTATGTTAAACTGTATTGTTTTTAAATAAAATATAAAAAAAAATTACGAAGGTTTATAATACTACGGGTTATATCATGTGTCAGTGTATATTCCCTTAGAGATGTGTAAGTCTTTCAGTTCATGTACACAATGAGTTTACTGTTTATCCCTGTTTTTGGGATTGAAGTATTTTTGATTGGTAGTGAACTGATGATATGCAGCCTTAATGACCCTTGTGTAGGCAACAGGTTTTAACCCCAGTTAAGCACCTGACTGCCAATTCTCATTTGTTTCGGCCTTGGTGCGAGTCAGAGCTGGTGATGAGTGCATAACGGTTTTTGCTCTGGTGTGAGACAGTGCTGTGTGATACAGTGTTTGTTGCTGGTGGGGGTGACACAGTGACATAGTTGTGTGACGAGTCTGGCCAGAAGTGCTACTACCTCTTGACTTTCATTCGAAGACCTCCCTGAAATATTTCAGGTGACTTTATAAATGTCAGGACAGGAAATTCCAGGTGAGTTATTAAATAATCTACCACATAACAGTGTTAGGTGGGTGGGACTGTCTTAATGCAAGGCAATGAGCGATTCTATCGCTAGATGCAAATCTGATTACCTCCATTCCTCTAAGTGCGTATAACTCGCGCAGGATTAGTTATTCCCAGAGAGTATTTCCGCAAGTTTGGGTGTCTTGAAAAGAGAATATTATATAGGCTCTGTATAGCCTGTCCTGTTTTTATCACTTCCAGAGTGACGATCATAAGAAAGGAAACCCCTAATTCTTAATTAAAAATTTGTGTCATACTGTAATTATTTATTCCCCAAAACACTTAAGAAAATCACTTGACCAATAACGCAATCTGTCAAATAGTCTCTTGAGATTAGATTTTTAGATTTTGCCACCGAAGTGGCTAGTTTATTGTGCACCCCATATCCATCCTGTGGACGGTAGCGCGAGAGCATATGGATACACAAAAGGCCTAGGAACTAGGCCCCAAAGGGTTAACAGGAATACATATGGATTTATATCTATATATCTATAGTTCACTTATCTGTTACAAGCAAATTTAGGAAATTTGCTTAGTATATCTGGTATTTTATTTTCATTAATAAGATATCTTGACATGTCACATAGGTTATTATACTGTCTGTCTCTGTATTCCTCAATAAGTGGACAATTAAGCACATAGTGTTCAAGAGTGACCATATGCCTGATCACTTAATTTACATTTAGTTTGATCATCATCTGTGTCTCCCAAACTGCCAGAAGTACTTGTAACCAAGCCTAAGCCTGGCCACTACAACATCAGTCAGTCTGTTCACATTGCAAGTTGCTCCATAAACATACTTATCTACGTTCATGTTATCATAGTAGGTTATAGATCTACTCAGGCTTCTAACTGCATTCCTATAACAATCACTTTCATTATTTACTTCTCTCCTAATATTATTCCTAATGCTAGACACAGTTATACCAAAGTTATATTCTACATTCTCCTTCTCGATACTCTTCTTGGCTAACATATCAACTTTATCATGAAGGAGTAATCCAATGTGTGATGGGATGAGAAATTATAAGAAACTTACAAAAGTTAAGTTGGTTTATATGATAATGTTGCTCGTGTCTGAAGTTCTGCCAGTTTGTTGTATTTTGACCTGCAAGTATGTTACTGTATAATATATACATTTACTTGTAAATCTAAATGTCCAGTGCATAAACGCGCAGGTGTACATTGGAGGTGTCAGTGTGCGAAGGGGTGCACTTAAAAGTAGGGGGGGTGTTTGTGTTTGGGGGGGTGCATGTGACCCTTCCCCCCCTCCCCCACCTGTGAACTGGGGTGGCTGGCGCGCGAGCACAACTATTCGCTCTTAATGTCAGAATTTTTCCCGTTTTTTGCTGTACGCAAATTTCTGGAGTTTTTTCCCCAGAGTTTTGATTTTTTAATTTAGCGGAGGTTGAATTGTTTAGGTTACACGAGCCAATAAATACTTTTAGATACTTACAAATGCAGCCACGATACGTCTAGTAACGAGGCGACTGAGAAAAAATATCTAACGTTCAAATTGGGCTATTTAACACTGTAGGTGCGAGGATGTGCTGGAACACTGAGGGGAATGTTATTGTATTGTATTCTACAAATTCAAGAAAACTGTCGGCATGAAGGTGACTTGTAACCGTAAATCTTGCTAACTTTCAGATAGGAAGTAGTAGCGAGGTAACCAAGATTATATTAGCAAATGATTTAGTATCAGCGCTTAGCTTGCACAATAAGGACCGGGTTAATCCTGGGAGAAGCGGGACACCCACGTGATAGTTTCTTATACAAGTGACACGCTTTAAGTTTAATATTAAAAGATTCTTATATGTGCGCAGTTTACTTCAAAGTTTCTTCCGATGACTGCAAAAGATGTGTTTACATTCTTGTCTTGTTCTCAACTCTTCATTTTACTCAGATGTATAACTATTGAATGTAGTGTCAGCTTCCACGATCGACACCATGCCCAGCCCTTCTAGGGTAGGGTAGGTGCCTGAGCCCGAGCCTGTAGCTCATAAGACTGTCATTCCCATTTGCTCCCTTGGGGCGGGGATGGCAGACCAGAGAGGCCTAGCTTGTGGCTAGGCCTGGGGACAGTTGGTCCCAAAGATGAGGAGGTACTTGTGCCTCCTCCCATGGGAGACTTCGGTCTCAGACACTCCCTAAAGAGGGAGCCAAGGCCGGGCCACCACTTGGAAAAGGCCCGGGCCGGGAGAGTACCGGCTAATCTTTAATAAATAATCAGCTTCCACACAACACCCATTAGCAAAAGCCTGTCCATGAAAAGTTTTATAGAAGATTTCTTCCTTCGGAAGGACCTTCCCCCCCCCCCCAAAAAAAGCCCAAAACGTATAAATACTCCCTGACAAATCATACAAAACCCTTGTCTATATCCTGTCCGGCACTGCCATCATCACCCTCAAGAACATAGTGGAGGAACACTACAGCAGACCTATTAGCCCATACAAGGCAGTCTCTCAAAACCATTTCCACCTACCGACATCTAACATTTTCCCAGGGCTACCAAAGAATTTGCTTCAGTACCTTGGGTACTAATCACTCTTATCTTAAATACTACCCAAGGTTTTAGCTTCTATTTTCCTACGTGGCAAATTGTTCCACGCATCGGCAACTGTTTGAAAACCAGTGCTGTTTGACCTTTGTAGGTTTAGCGCTTCTTTATTATAATAAAAATTTAAAACTAGTACTTGCCTACGTCCTTTCTAAATCTAAATGCCTGGCTTAAATCAGTTCTGGTTCTTACTTGATATCCTCGGTACTTTACTAATATCGCCTTTTGTTTATCCCCACCGCAAACTGTCCTTTCGATCTATTTCCTTTGTTTTATTAAATACGCCATACACTAGATCCAGGCACCTACTTATGAAGACACTTGCATGCAACACGACTCTTCGCATAAACACATGCTTGCGTAATTCTGACCCATTCTTTTCTTTCTCACCAGCAATATCACCTCTTCCCTTCTCAGCCGTTCACACAACCTGTAAAGTCTACCTTGGATCCTACGAATCGCGACACTAAAGTAAACATTAGCAACATACAAAGGGCCAGAACTGTGCATTTTAAGACAGTGAAGTGATAAGGTAGGATTGTAAGCGGTTATATTCTATACTGCACACGCTTGGAATTTACTTCCCTTGACATATCCCTCTTGCGTAAATAATCCCACAAATCTTAGACTCCTCCACCTGCATAATTCTTATGCTCCAATCATGAATACTAATCCACAGTTATCATTCACTGATAACGTAACACTGTACATACCCGAAAACAGCTTAAAAAAAATCCCTACTAATCCCTCCACCAGACACTCGTGAACCTGTAGACCGGGTCCTGCACACAAGCGAAGAGCATCAGACACAACTGACAACCCTCCCGTAAACCTCTGCACATGGATCAGCTCCCCTGATTAACAATTAACCTAGACTTAGCCACCACGATACAACGTATCCACCCACCTTTGTTTCCTCCTCAAACCCGTGCCGAATGAGAATACTAATTATGCCTGTCCATCGTGACGGCACTACCATTTCTCTACCAGTATTCAGCATAGCCTCGGTATCTAGCACCGTTAAGTATCCTCAAATGGGTGACGTTAAAGGGATGTCTAATGGAATGGCTTGGGTAACTTCCATTACACTGTGACTGAGTTTTTCCACAAGATACTGAAACAAATACGACCAGGGCGGAGAATGATTGTGTAGGTGTAGGTTTTGCTATTTTGTGTAAAACAGTCAGGAATTTGAAATCTTGTTAAACTGCATTAAATAAATGTCCTTTTACCTCCTTTGAATTGCTTCAGTATTTAATTTGAGTCGTCTTGAGCCAGGATAATGTCTACAAAGTTGTTTTCGTGCCTCCGACTTCATTTTTCACCACCAGTGTTGCTTCTCAAGTACAAAGTTCGTGCTGCCCTTGGGTGACAAGTCTCATTTTGCCAGTTTTATTGAATAAAGTGATGTTCATTTTTCTTGGATAACTAAAGATCTCTTCTGGTTGGCTTCAAAATAATACTAAATTCACTTTAAAATAAAGGTAACCATTCGGTTCCAGTAGGTAAAAATCGTAAATTTTACAGAAGTGTTTTAAAATACTTCGAATCTTATAAATTGCTTAAGAATGCCTTTTCTGATCGGCTTCCAACTTTTACCATTGGTGGTGGTTATTAAAACAGCTTATCACTTTGAGAAGTGTAAATATTTTTTTCTATTTTAAGCAAATTGGTTTCCCATGTAATTAGTCGCTACCTCTTATGATCATCTTCAAATCCCAAGTGTTGGCGCATCTTACGAAGTCCCCCCACCCCCCCCGAGTTGTGGGTGCCAAGTTGATATTTTTTGTTTGCGAATTTGATAAAATTGAGGTTCCATAAAGATTTTGTAATCCCCTTGGTATCGTTGAATTTAGAAATACTGCGGGGTTCACCCGTCTGATAGTTTCAAATTGTGCTGGATAACCTATTAAAATTAAGCTCAGAGTTTACTGTTAATATATATTTTTTTTAATTTCATTAAAGTTTCCATTTAATAACTTAATACCTCCTGATCGGTTTCAAACCCGAAACGCATGTTATCTAATTTTGATTTGCTTTTGTATTAAATTTGGGCAGTGTACGAGTCGGTTTTCTTGCAGAATTGTAGAGATTTGTAAATAAAAACTAAAATTTAAAACTTTCAATGTTATTAGTTTAATGAACACTACTAAATTTTCAGAATTATACAAAAGCTGACACATTACAAAGTTTCTACAAAACTTCAAAATTTTTAAACTCCTTATTCCAGAGGCTTCAGATTTTTCAACCTGGTGAACTATAACTAAAGGTTCGTGGAGCAACATGTTGCTCTCTGCTCAATATTACATTTCTGATACTTTAAAACCTGCTCTGGTGAATCTTAAAAAAAAAAAGTTAGGGTTGTTTTTGGCTTGTGTAGATGCGAATTTAGAATTTTCCAAGGAAT